GGGGGGGGGGGCAGAGGCAGCTGATCGATGATTCTCTCTCATCGATGTTTCTAACTTTCTCTCCCTCTCCCTTCCTCTCTGAAATCAGTAAAAACGTATTTCAGAAAATTATAAAAAAGCCCTGGCAGGTTTTGCTCAGTGGTTAGAGCATTGGGCCACAGACTAAAGGGTCTCAGGTTCGATTTCTGGTCAAGGGCATGTACCTGGGTTGCAGGTTCATTCCCACCCTGGTTGGCAACCAATCGATATGTTTCTCACGTCAATGTTCCTCCCTCACTCCCCCTTCCTCCCCTTCTACTCTCTCTAAAAATCAATGGAAAAAATATCCTTATGTGAGGATTAAAAAAAAAATTACATATATTAAAAAAATCCCTAAGAGACCTTATAGTCCTTTACTACTGAACATACAAACAAAACTCATAACTTACCTTATTTTCTTCTGATTTAGTTTTATGAATAGCAGGTGGTATTTTACCTCCCATGCTTGAGGAAGATGAGAAAAAAAGATATTTGTTTAGAAAAGTAAAATTCACTAAGCCAAGCAACATTTATTCATACTAGGAAAAAAGACATTCAGATTACCTTTTCAAACTTTAAAAGAGTAAAAACTCAATTAATTTAAATAATTCAGCATTAAGAGGGTTTTTCAGCTTAAAATTTTATTTCTTTTTTAGCGTACTGGTTAATGAAAATCTTACTCAGTCTTTGCCTCAATAAGCCTAAGAAACAATTACATAGCTTCTCTGCGTCCATTCCCAGATGAAAAGAGGCAGAAAAACATAAAATCATTTGAACAAGTTAGTTTAGAATTCAGTATATATATTAAAATCCAGTAAGATGGCAATTAAATTAAAAAAGACATTTCAGGAAACAATTATGAAGTCACTGTATAATAATTCAAACTGTTTCCTCTGACTGGGGCCTATAAAGATTCCTCTTGCTTATTCACACGCCCACATTATGTATTTTCTCCTTCTCCCCTCGAAACTTCACCCACTAGTACTTCCTCTTGGCACTGGCAAGCCCTTTTCACCCCAAATGTTCCAGGATCACCCCAAATGTTCCAGAGCAACACCATGAATTACATACACCAGGTCTTCATATAATGCTGTTATAAGGTTGACGAGATGCTGTAGGAACCTAACTCTTGTTTATATCAATTAGCCTATAGTAAAACTGGTTTCATTACATGTCATTTTGCTTAAAGTCACAGAACCTATCAATGTTAGGTGAGGACTAACTGTACAAACAACTCTAAAACAGGGAAAATAAGACTAGAAAAAATTAGTGCTATATGCTCCATTTGGGGCAGACTCTGAAGCATGTGGGCTACATGCAACAGTGCAACGACTAAAATATTCAGTGGATTAAAGGGCACTCCACAATAGTAAAAGCTGAAGGTCACAAAGACTCAACTAAAACTTGCCTTAGAAACACTGATTGGCTGCCTCCTGCATGCGCTGTAATGGGGATCAAGCCGGAAACCTGGGCAGGGAACTAATTTGTTTTAAATCTTGAAAGCATTAACTAAAATTTCTATACCTATAAACTGGTGCTACCTTCCAGTAGTTAACTAGAATTTGGAATGTAAGAACTCTAAATCTAGCTTATGACTAAATCCTCTTGTCTTTTCCTCCTATCAAGTAGGACTGGTGCAGAGACCTTCCTCATATGGAATCACACAAGACCAGTCACTATTCTTTTAATTCTATAACATTCAATCTACTTTATGCTATAGTTACTTATGCATATGCTCAAAAAACTGGGTGCTATATTCTAAATTCATTGACGGTAGGTGGCTTTCTGTTCACGTCATTTAAAATATTTACTGAAGCCCTGGCTGGGTAGCTCAGTTGGTCAGAGCATTGACCTGATACACCAAGGTTGGGGATTCAGTCCTCAGTCAGGGCACATACAAAAATCAACCAATGAATAAGTGGAACAACACATTGATGTCTCTCTCTGTCTCTCTCTCATCAAGAAAAGTTACTGAAAAGCACATGTAAGATACAAAGTAGACCAAGTTGTTAAATGGGAGAAAATAGTGTCAGACCTGCTTCTCCCTCTAGAAAAGCAAAAACATGTCAAAACATATTTGTCAAAGACAATGTAGTCTCCCTGAACGCCCACTGTCTACTAGGCCGAATATTTCCTCTCCATATTTCTTTTTGTCCAATTTAAAAGGTTGTTAAGCTAATAAATTCTCAATAGCAAATAAAATGTTAAGCTATAAACAATAGTAGAAATGATGACAAATAAGCAAATGTCCATTGCTGTCTAAGCCCGGGCATCTACGGCTAACCCAGAATGGAAAGAACTCTGAAATAGTTTCAACTTGTGGAACCCTCATAGTAGGATTAGGCCTAGGAATATTCCTGGACCTAGAAGTCTCCACATCTGCCAGATCTCCTACAATCTTGGACTGCTTTAAGACTGCTATGCAAAAGAGGAACTCATACACCTGAAGCAAAGGCCTTAAGAGAATACAAAAATTTTAATTTAGATTGAAAGAGACATAGCAAAAGCATCTATGTTAATATTTCTATTTAAGTTCAGAATAAGGCCCCTACACATGCCAAGATGCTTCATCCCATACTTAAATCAACAATTTAGGAAGAAACAAGAAAAATATAAAAACTGGAATTACCTATGGAAAACATTAAAATAAAGACATGGTTAATTTTTGGAAATAATGCCTAACAATATTTTCCAGAATCTAAACTGGAATTCTCTACATAGCCATAATCACTCCAGCACAAGTTACAACACTGTTCTTGTATGCTTTAACATTTTCTTCAGTGTCCTCTTTTTCTCTCTAGGAGTGGAACAAAACATAGTATCCACTCAATATAATGTTCACTCTTAGTACCAGCTATTTCTTCCTGTGGTATGTCTCTGCTTCACCTGGAATTTTAGGAACAATTTATTAATTGTAGGCACTTTCCTTTAATGAGTAAATATTAGAGAACGAAAGCATACATGCATCCTAAGTGATGCTTTTGGATCATCAAGTTATTAACAGTAATTATCAAGCTACTATGGTAACTAATTTTAAGTGTTCTCAGAATTTCATATATATAACATGGGCAAAATTCTTGTAGTAGCGCCCTGGCCAGTGTAGCACAGTTGGTTGGAGCATCATCCAGTACACCAAGACATGTAAGCTTCAAATCCGGTCACGGCACATAATCAGGTTGCGGGTTCGATGTTTCTCTCAAATCAATAAAAAAACTTTAAAAAATCTTAGAAAAATTCTAGAAAACTGGTGAGGAAAAAAATTATACCCTCACAGACAACACTGATAGATTTTAAGTTTCTTCCTGAGATAGTCTTTCAAAATAGTCTTTCTCAAATATTTAATTATGGGTTCACCATCCCCTATAAAAATATTACTAAAGTAAACAGATCTTAGAAGTCGCATTGCCTCGCACTGTGGCTATTTACCACCATGAGGTGCAAAGTTGTATGTAATCTCTCTTAAATTCCCCACCAGTACTAGTGATTTTTAAAAATCATTTCGGGGAAGATTTCATTCTCCCTTAAATCCCCTTCAATGTGTAGAACACTAATCTTTATTATATGGTAAATATCAAAACAAATTTCTGTATTTATTCACCTGTATCCCTAGGCTGTGCTTAATACTGTTTCCTAGCACCTGGCACAATGCCTATACAATTAATTCCATGCACGTAGCGAAGTACTCTAAAGATGACAAGAACAGATCATGGAAACACACAGGTCCTTGAAAAATCTTGGGAGTAATGACACTACTACTACGGAGGTAGAAGTGATTCTCAAAATAATTATACGCAGTTGGAACCGCTATAACTTTAAAGGCAATTAAATACAGCTACCGTTTTTATAACTTTATGAAATCAGTAACCAATATTACAACACTACTTAAAGGCACAGTCTGTAAAGGAGCTGCTGTGCGACACTGCAACCCTATCAGGACACCAGAGATTTCAAGAAAAACAACTCCACGCGAAAGCGAAGTCTTGCAGCTCTCAACCCTCCCCCCTCGTGCCCAGTGCCCAAGTCCTAGCAATCTTTTGAGTTTATACTTCGCCCAAAACACACCCCTGGCGACTTCAGGGTGCAGGGAGCCAGCTCTGCCTCGTCCTTCTCCGCCTCTGTATTAAACTACCCGATTTTCCATTAGCCCCTGGAAGTCACCTCCCTTTCCTGGCCAGGGTACGAGCTACGAAGAGGCGGCGACTCCGCTGGCCCCCGTCGCCGAGCTGGCCGCTCCTCCGCCCCGCGCCAGCCCCGGCCCAGCTCCCCCTCCGGTGGTCCCGGTTCCCACCCTCAACGGTCCGCAGGCCCGGGTCTCACCTCTCCACCCACTCCCTCAGGAAGCGCATTTCCTCCGTATGCAGAACGCTCGGGTCCTGCTTACACATTTTCACGAAGGCCCGAAGCTCGCTCACTTTGCGGGGGTCCATGGTAGGGAAGCGAGGGAGGCGGCGGGCGCGGCTAGGGTGCTGCGGGGTTCTAGGCACGGGCGCTACCTCGGCGCGACCGCGCGGAAGGGGGCGGCTGCCGCGAGGCAGAACAGACCAGAACTTCCCCGGCCGCGGGCTCCTCCCCCAACGGTCTCGTGACCCCGGGTCCTTAGCGTGTTCATTCCTACTCCCTTCACCTCTGCTCCTGCGCACTGGTTAGAACCTTCTAGAAGCGTGGCTGTTCGAGCTTTCGCCTGCCTCTGTCCGCACGCTTCCTTACACTCAATTCTGAGCCAGTTCTCCGGATGGAATCGGCTTCCCACAGGGTGCTTTCCAGGCGGCGGGAGCTGTCAGCCCCTGCCAGAGTCACTTAGAATCGGACACTCCGCAAGCGCGAGCATTAAGTGGAGCACGACGTCACAGCGCCAAAAGGGCCGGCCATAGCGGTGGTCACCCACCGCTCTGGCGTGACGTCAGCATCTGCGCCGCCGCACGAGAAAGGCCCCGGCAGCGGCGCCGGCCGGAAGGGGTGGGGCGCCTGGCTCGGTTTCCTGGCGACGCAGCGCTGCGAGCCGCGGCTCGTCGCGCGGTTTTCCTCCTCTCCTCCCGACGCGCGTGCGAGGCCGGCATGCCTTGGTTACTCTCAGCAACTAGGCGGGTTCCCGCTCTAGCCAGCTCCCGCGGCCTCTCAGGTTAGCCTCACCTCCCACTGTGTCCCCTCCAGGGTTTGCTCTCTGCGAAGCCTGAGGCGCCCCGGAGGGATCCAAGTTGGTCTCGGGCGGTCGCTGGTTCGGCGGACCCTTCTGCTGGGGCCTCCACTCCCTCGGTGCGCCCCTCTGGTTTCTTCTTTACTTGCTGCTCCTGGAAATGGGCCCTCTGTTCTCTCTCCCGCCGAGGTATCCGTTGAGGTATTCTGGGAAGCTGAAATGACTGCAGAGAGAAAAGTGTGGCCATCCCCTAGAGGTCTTCAAAGTTACTTGAACTCATAGAAGTTGTGTCAGTTACATTTGCTTAGGTGACAAAGTGTCTCATACCAAGTAGCTCTTGTTTCTGTTAGGTTAACCTAAAATTCAGTTTTCGTGTTTTCAAAGAGTTGACTTAAGAGCCTGGTCCAGAATGTGCAAGAAACATGTTTAGTAGGACAAATCCTTTGAGCAATTCCCCTGAGAAGTGTTATGTCTGAAAGCTCTGTTTGTAAAAACAGGATGGAGTCCAGAAATTTGGGAGCCCATTTTTTAGGGTGTACTGTATCACAAGCAGTTGATCTCATGAACATAAAACTTGCTCAGTGAAAGCTGAATCATCTACCTTGCAGGTGATCTGCCATTGGATATTTCACTTTTGGGGGCCGGTATGTGAACAGTGAGTGAACCAGAGCATATGGTACTTGACATCAAAGCTATGTCTTGGCATATGTTTCTTATGCTGGTGGTATACTTGAATTTATTGAAAATGGAATGGTAATTAAATTAAGGCAGATTACTGTAAAAAAGAAAGTAAAAGGTAATCATTGTCTAGTGCACAGATCTTGCTCTTCAGTTCTAATAGTTAAGCTGCAGAAAGCTGTCCCTGGAGTTGGTCACAGTCTAGCCAAGGTGATAGATAAGTGACACTATAGCGAAGAATAGTAATAGAGTCTTGGTTCAAATGACATGGGAGCTCAAGAAAGGCACTAATGGGCTGTAAATCGTATGTTATCCTGGGATTTTACTAAGTTTTAGAATTTGAAGACTCACTGACTTGAAGTGCTCATGGGAGTGGTTGAATAGATGTGCAATTAGTCTTTTTAAAAAACTGAATTTATTGGGGTGACATTAGTTAATAAAATTATATAGGTTTCAGGTGTACAATTCTATAATACATCTGTATATCATATTGTGTGTTCACCAAGTCATAATTAGTCTTAATCACAGGGGCCACAACCTATGATTTGGAGCTGGAACCATCTTTTGCTTGTGACTTTTTTGTATTTAAGGCTTTGTGTAAAACCTGATTAATCAAGGTTTAGGACTAGATACTGTATTATACACACCAAGGTCTTTCAAAAAAATATTATGCGTCATTTTGCCTCAGTAGAATAAATAAATTTAACCACCTCTTACATTATCATTTTATTTATATACTATATACATAGGCTTTTTGAATAAATGAATGATCTACTTGGGTCTTCACAAGTCCAATAAATTAGGGCAGATATTTTACTGATGGAGAACGGAAACTAACACAGGATCACAAGTAGCAAGTCAGGAATTTTAGATGTATTGCCATCGAGTCCTTCTTCTGTTATACCACTAGTTCTTAACTCTGGCTTAGTAGAGTCCTTTTGGAACTTTTTATTGAGCCACAATGACTACTAATTCAATAACTTTTGAGTTAGTAGTCATTGTGGATGAATCTCCACTTCCCTGGAGTTGCTTACAGTCTAGCCAAGGTGATAAACAGTAGATAAGTGACACTATAGCAAAGAATAGTAATAGAGTCTTGGCTCAAATGACATAGGAGCTCAAGAAAGGCACTAATGGGCTGTAAATCGTATGTTATCCTGGGATTTTACTAAGTTTTAGAATTTGAAGACTCACTGACTTGAAGTGCTCAGAAATAGAACTTTTACTGTGTGGTGCTCTTGGTTGCCCTTTTTTAGAAAGGTTGTGAGTAAATAGTATCAAGTACTATAGGAAGCTTTCTCATCTGTGAAAGTCATGCAATTAAAAGCGTGACTTCAGTGCTAGCCAGCGTGGCTCAGTTGGTTGGAGTGTCCTGTACACTAGAAGGTCATGGGTTCGATTTCCGGTTGGGGCACATACCTAGGTTGCAGGATTGATCCCCAGTCAGGGTTTGTACAGGAGGCGGCTGATCGATGTTTCTCTCTCTCCCCCACCCCCTCTCCCTCCCTCTCCCTTCCTCTCTCACCAGAAAGCACGTCCTCTGGTGAGGATTAAAAAAGAAAAAGAGTGATTTCATTGGCTGGAATATGCAAATATTAACATGATCTAGTCATGTGAGAAAAAGCAAAGTAAAGCACTAATGGTGCATAAGTAAGTTGTATTTTAAAAGACTATATCATTTGCCCTGGCCCTTGTGGCTTAGTTGTTTGGGTGTCCTCTTGTGTGCCGAAAGGTTGGCACATGCCTGGGTTGCCCACTCGATCCCCAGTAGGGGGCACGCAATCCATGTTTCTCTCTTGAATTGATGTTTCTCTCTCTTCCTCTCCCTCTAAAAATCAATAAAAACATTTAAAAAAAATAAAATACCTAGGTTGTTATGATTTTATTTCCTGAAAATAAGCTTTAAGTGCTAATTGTTCCCTTTATCTCCTATAGAATAAATGACCTTTCCTCCCCACCCACCTACCAACTTAAAAATCTCACACTGCCTGGCTGGTGTGGCTCAGTGGTTGAACATTGGCCATGATCCAGGAGGTCATGGTTCAATTCCCAGTCAGGGCACATGCCCGGATTGTGGGCTCAATCCCCGGCAGGGGGCGTGCAGGAGGCAGCTGATCAATGACTCTCATCATTGACATTTCTCTCTCCCTCTCCCTTCCTCTCTCTGAAATCAATAAAGATATATTTTTTAAAAAGAATTTCACACTACTACAAGTCATTTAAAAATAGTAGATACAATTTTTTCTGGTTTCCAAATTTATAGTACTGTTAAATACCACTGAACTGCTTTTTGCCAAAGGTGATTGGGTTTTCATGCTGCTAGATTATTTGCTCCTATCTTTTAGTTACATTAAAATTTACAGTAATTATATTTGTAAGAGCTAAAAGGTTAATATCAATGCATCTTATTGCTGAAAAAGGAAGAATTCAGTGACAAGGAACATGCAGGATACAAGTCAATGCAGGCATTTCTTTTCAGTTGCTTAATAAATTGGGTCATCTCAAATGTAGTCCATCAAAAACACCTGCAGCCCTATCTCAGATAATGGCAACTCCCTGCTTCCAGTAGCTAAGGCCAAAACCCTTGACTCTTACCTTATTCAGCATCTGGCCTGTTAGCGAATGTTTGGCCCTACTGTTAGAGTATGTCCAGAATTTGACGGCTCTTCAGTTCCACCACCCAGGACCAAGCTACTACAATCCCTGGCCTGGTTTGTAGCAGTAGCCTGATGTCTCCGCTTCTATCCCTGCCTACTTTGAGCCTGCTTTCAATGACAGCAGCCAGAGTGGGCCTGTATAAATAGATCAGATTATGTCACTCTTCTGATCAAAGCCTTCAGTGGTTTCCTGTCCCACATATAGTAAAAACGCCCATATTGTGATCAGCACTCCCTGCATGGTCTGAGCTTTCTTACTTCATTTACTTTCTCAATCATCTACCACTGATCTCCATGTTCCTCAAACAGCCTGCCTTAGGAATGTTCCACTTGCTATTCCTTCTGCCTGGAGTTCTCTCACCAGGTATCTACATGGCCAACTCCTTCACTTCCTTGAGATCTTGACTCAGATGTAACCATCCTTTTTCCTTGGCTACCTTAGCTAAAATATTAGCTCTTGCCCTGGCCACTATGGCTCAGTTGGTTGGGTGTCATCCTCTGTACTGAAAGATGGCCAGTTCTATTTCTGATCAGGGCACATGTCAGGGTTGCTGGCTTGATTCCCGATAGGGGGCGTGCAGGAGGTAGCCAGTTGGTGTATGCTCTCACATCGATGTTTCTCTCTCTCTCCCTCTCCCTTTATCTCTCTCTCAAAAAAAAAGGTATTTAATTTTTTTTTCAGCTTTCATACTCCAAAACCTCTATCCCCTTCCCCTACTTAAGTTTTTTTCCTTAGCACCTATGACTCACATTATAATTACTTAATACTTGTTTATCGTTTCTCTCCAGTTTGTGAACTCTGTGACAGCTAAGGTTTTTGCTCTTTGTTCATTACTGTACCTCCGGTACCTAGAACACTATCTGACAAACAGTAGGTACTCTCGCTAATAAAATCAATAAAAAGAAATCTTTGAAAAATACTGTTAAATGAATAAAAGCAACAGGCTGAAAAGAAATATATTTTGAAAATTAAATAACTGAAGGAAGCTAAGAAGTAATCATGTTGATATTAAACTAGGTTAATTTGAAAGAAGCAAATGTATTCAAACATTGAGCTCAAACCACTTGCTCATTGTCCAGTATATCTGTAACTCATCTACCTTCTGTCATAACCCTCAATTAGAATGGCTAAAGGCAGTATTTTAGAGGAATGTATCTGTAGATCCTGTGTACATACTCAAAAGGAAAATAGTTTCCTGTCTGGAGTGATTCACTGATGGCCTATCACACGTGACATAGGCAGGTTGCTCTGAGGAATTCATGGTAAGTCTGGCTTTTTAAAAGTTACAGTAAAATACATATAAAATTTATCATGTTAATTGTTTTAAAATGTACAGTTGTGAAGCAGATTCCCAGAACTTCATCATCTTGCAAATCTGAAACTATACCAATTAACAACTCTTCTTTTCCCTCTCCCCCTGCTCCCTGGTAACCATGATTCTTTCTGTTTCTATGAATTTGACTTTAGATACCTCATATAAGTAGAATCATAAGGTATTTGTCTTCCTATGACTGGCTTATTCACTTAGCATAATGCCTCAAAGTCTGTCCCACTGTAGCATATAACAGGATTTCCTCTCTCTTTGCAGCCAAATAATATTCCCTTCATACCTGTATGTATAAATATTTTATGTATTCATTAATTGATTGACATTTGGGTTGGTTCCAACTCTTTGTTACTGTGAATGATAACTGCTGTGAATATGGGTATGCAAATATGAGTCTGGCTATTTTTAACTTAAAAGAAAATACTTTATACTTTAATTTATAATGTCTTTAAGTTCTGTGTCAAATGCTTTGCCTCTATTGGAAAAAAAGTTATTTCATGAGTAATTATATATTCTGAACCTGTATGTCTCAGTATGTTTTTAGTTCCTAATGCTATACATATTTAAGAAAGTTTGTAGTTTTCATTAAAAGAAAAATAATGAAATAGACCATAAACTATACTAAAAAACTGATATGTAAACATTTAGCTCCAAAACAAAAGTAAACTAATCTTTGCCACTTTACAAATTATTAACATCACTGTCACCACAAACACAACTTTTTCAGACATACCTAATCCAAACAACCGCTGACCAGATGTCCACAACCTGCTAATCGTGTTAAAACATAGTCTTACTATATTAAACAAAAGTTACCTACAAAACTCTGACTAATCAAAACAAAGAGCCACATTCAGATGTTATATGAACATAATGTGTCTGAAGAGTCAATTTAATGATTCCTTTTGGTTGACTTCTTGTGCACCTCTTTATGCTTCTTTTTTTTCCTCTTACCACCTTCTTTGAGTCCTGCTGAGAAAACAGAGGGATCCCTGTTGCTGGTGACCGAAGGTGTATGTTGGTCATTTTCCACACAAGTATATTGAGGTGCATGTTTGGAGCTGTAGGACTTGGGTGAATAATTGAATGATCGCCTTCTCCAGCTGCGTTCTTCTGCCAAGTCCTCTTCATCTGCCACACCGTTTACAAGGAACGGCTCCAACTCGCTGTCATCTTCAACTTCTCTTTCTTCATCATTCTCAATAATTCTGTTTGTATTGGTATTTCTGCCAATACCAGAATTAGCAGTTTTATGTGAAGTTGTAAAAGATACATGGTTGGCCATCCCACTGTCATCAAATGCTGGAGAAGAGAAAAAATGAATGCCCTCACGGCCCAGTGAACCATGTGGTGTATATCTTGTGTCATATGAAGAAAATCTCTCGAACACTGGATATTCACTGGAGGTAGAGAAAAAGGATCTTGCACCTCTGTTTCTGCTTCCGTAGGAAGTTCTTGGACTATTTAAAAGGTCCTCAAGTGAGTCTTCAAAGAAAAGAAATAAAAATGAGTCCCTTTCACCAAAAATTTCTTTAAGGACATCATCTGGCTTATGGAATGTGAAGCCATACTCAAAAGAATCATCAATATTACTTCCACCCCCGCCATTTAATCCTTCTTTGCCATATTTATCATAAATGTCCCGTTTTTCATCGTTTGATAATACCTCGTATGCTTCAGCTACTTCTTTGAATTTTCTCTCAGCTTCTTCTTTATTTTCTGGATTTTTGTCAGGGTGCCATTTAAGTGCTACTTTATGGTAAGCCTTTTTGATGTCCTCACATGAAGCATATCTCTGCACTCCTAGAACTTCATAGTAATCTACCATGTTTTAACAAATTGTTGGAAGAAGGTGCTGCGGTTGGGTAGTGAGAACGGTGATTTCCTCTCAGCTCAGGCTGTGCTGGTGGTGGTGGTAGAGTGACTGCAAATAGGCACATTTTACATTGAAGACAATGTTACTGTGGGCCACTGCTAGGAGATGATAGGGTACTAGATTGTGTGGCAAGCTGATGTCAGAGAGGGCTGCATTATGGTGTCATTCTGGGGTTGGGGTAGGGACTAGACCTTCCAAATGGAGCTAGTCCAGAGTCATTCCAGACCATCCTGAACCCCCTGGATGATTTACCCTATATTTCTTTGGAAGCCTCAAACAATACCTCATAAATCAGTGGAACCTGTTGTTGATGGCCACAGCATGCCACTTGCATAATGTAACCTCTAGGTAACTGAGCCGTAATCACTTACTTCCCAGTGTTTCCATGTTTTGATTTGGAAAAATGAAGCCGTGAACTATGTGAAAAAGGTATTCAAGCTATTGACATTTGTTCATTTCAGTCAAGATCCTTATTACAGTTCAGTGGGACATAAAAACAAATAAACTCAGTTACAATATAAAGGCATTGATGGGGGAGCACTGGATGCCAAGTAATCATATGAGAGACACCTACCCCAGAACTGGGGGGTCAGGGGAGGCTTTCTGGAGAAGTGGCCTGCTACACAAGCTTTCTGCATGCCAGTGGTGAGTCACTTGACATAGTATCTTTGCCCACTTAAAAGTTACTACTAAAAAACATAGTTAAAGATTTAAAATTGTGTACTTATGTATTCAATATATAATTACTGAATGCCTACTTTGTGCAAGGCACAGTTTTAGCCCCTGGTGATAACAGTATTGAACCAAAAAAAAATTCCATTTTTCATGGTATTTACACTATCGTGGAGTACAAAGAATAAATAAAAATAATTGGAGATAATGTGATAAGTGCTCAAAAAAAAAGTGTGATGGCAGACAGCTACCTTAGATTGGTTTTAGAAAGGCCCTGAAGAAATGACATTAGAGCTGAGACATAGGTGGCAAAGAGTCAGCCATGTGATGATCCAGTACAGTAGCTACTAGCCATGTGGATGGACATGTTGGTTTTTTCCACTTTTAAGCCATTATAAATAAAGCTAGCATTCATTTCTAGTGGGAACCCATGCGGTGGGGGTGGGGGGTGGAATTATGCATCTGATTTACATTTATAATGTGAAGAGAATCAATTGTATGTGGGGAAATTTGGATAGAAAGTCCAGTTAGAAGCGCACTCAACCAAAGTTGATTTCTTTGGGGGCAATTTAAATTATCAGTAGGCTAGACCTGAATTAAAAAGATGTAAATTCTATTCCTGGCTCACTTTATTGTCCTAGGAAATTCCCTATGATGATCTGTCTCTGTTTTTTCTCCGCTATATTTTGTTTTATTTTCCATCACATTTGTAAACACCTTGGTTAAATGATAGTCTAATGAGATAGAAAATAATAGTGTGTGTTTCTAGACAGTCTTTCAAGACCGTTTGCCGGCTTTGAATATTTTTTTACTTTTTGTATACCAGTTAACTAGAAGTATTGCAAAACTCTTAAACTCAATTTCATTTCTCTACAGAGTATATGCTTACATGTATGTATGGTATAAATATAATTATGTTTGCCTATCATTGAAAATAAATAGCAATAATAATAATACTGAATATTATTTGAGTACCACTTTTGGGTCAGACCCTGTAGCAAGTGACTTACATGCAGTTTCTCATTTAACTGTCACAGCATTCCAGCCAAATAAGTATTCTGTGTTCATATGAAACTGGAGGTTCTGAAAGATAAAGTGATTTGCCTAATGAAACCTAGCTCATTAGTGAAAAATCTGATATTTAAACTTGGGTCTGTCTGATTCCAGTTCTGCTCTTTCCAACTCTATCTCATTTCTTGGACCAGGATTTAAGAGTTTAGGTTCTAGACATTACACGAACGTGTATTGAGAGCCTATGATACAGAGAGGAGTTAGAAAATTCTGCTCTCCAGGAATTCATATACTTGAGGGGAAAAACATTGAAAAACTAATTTCAATAGAGTGTGAAAGTGTAACACAGGTAATACTCAATCCTAGGCTTTAGATACCACCTATGTGCTTGTGACACCTTAATTTACATATCTAATCTGTTATTTTTCTCCCTGAATTTAAGACTTTTTGGCCTCTACAGTGGAATAGCCAATAATTATCTCAGTCTTTTCCTTTCATTTAATGGCACAACCCTCCACCCACTTGCAAAAAACCTGGAAATCGTCCTTAATTTCCCTTTTTTATGCCCTACATTTAATCAGAAGCCAAACTTGTTGGCTTTTTGACTTTCAAAAATAAATCCCAAATCTAATCACTGGGGAAAATAAAGTCAAGTAACAAACGACCCCTGCCTTCCAAAAGTTTATAGTAAACTAGCAAACTAAATTAGCAGTTATGTGTAGTGTAATCGGTCTTAAAGTGGAGTTAAGCACAGGAGCATTGAGGAGGAGTATTTGCATCAGAAGCAGTAGAGCTGGGGAGTTTTAAGGTCAAGTTTCCGAGATTGTGATGTTGGAACTGACTTTTGAGAAGTTGGGTAACCAGAAGCAAGCAAAGGCCATTTTAGACCAAGAGAACTGGCTACTTGCCTGGCTGGTGGTTCAGGGGTTGAGCCCGGAGCCATGCTTGGGGAGGTCGCTGGTTCAATTCCCCATCAGGGCACATGCCCCCGTTGCAGGCTCAGTCCCCAGTAGGGGGCGTGTGGGAGGCAGCCGGTGGATGTTGAAGTTTCATCGATGTCCCTCCCTCCCTCTCCCTTCCTCTCTCTCTGAAATCAATGAAAACATTAAAAACGAGAGAGAACTGCGTACTTGAAGGCAAATGCTGCTATGATGCACTGATTAGCTGGGCTCTTCCCGTGGGTTAGGGTGGCTGCTGGAGTGGGCGGGGCCGGGCTGAGAAGGGAGCTAAGCTGGATGGAGCCTGAAGCACGTTCTGAGAGGAATAACCTACGCGTGTGCAGCAGCTGAAGTCACTAAGGGTCCAGAGGAGATTTCCGTACCCTAGGGCCCAGCACAGGCTCCGGCTGGCAGAGACCAAGGGCCCTATGAATACCGAGGTGGCACTAGTTTGCGTCTTGCTAAGGCGTGCCAAGGCTGGCAGACAAGCGCACGTAAGTACTGTGGGCGCCTCCTCGGCCCCTGGTCCCACTTCCTCCTCTCCGCTTCTCCTCAGGGTGCGGACCGTGCCGCCAGCGGACCTACGGCCTGCACTGCCGCCCGCAGAGGACGCCCAGCCGGCCGCTGGGCCAGCCCAGCCCCGCCACGCACCCGCACCTCCTCCGGCCA